TGCATATTATAACCACACCAAATTTGCCTTAAGAGTTGAACTGAAATGTATAAGGAAATAATTACAAATTTCCTATGGAATATAAAACAACACATATATACATGTATGTGTGTGTGTGTGTGTGTGTGTGAGCATGTATGCATTCAAGAGTATTTTTATTGCATGAGCTCTCTCAGGTACAAGTGTATGATGAGTTACTAATGGAAAGAAATAATATAATATTTTCCCATCCTTCTGGTAATGCATTTGAAAAAAGACACAATAATAAGGCAAACAAAAAGTTCAGCATTAAATCGTAAATTTCATGGCCATTGCACAACTGTATGTTCGTTTACTGGAAAAAATAAAAATAATAATTGATATGATAAAAGTTAGATTACATGCATAACTCAATTTTGCATAAGAAAATCAGTTGTGTACAACAGGGTATGTCTAAAGTTACCTCTTTGAAAATAAAACAAAACTGTCACGGACTTCTTTTAATTGCCATATATGCCAAGTTGCCAACACCAAAAATTAATCAAGTCTAATATGGTTTTCTTGTTGATACTGCAACAATTGTGAAAAGACTAAAAATTCCTAAAGAGAGAACAAAAGAAATAGGAAACAAACAAAAAAGTAGAGACCTCTATATTCTACGAACATCAACAGATGCTAGGGACCACTACTTAGTGCAAGGACAAAAGGTTGGGTGCTAAGTTTAGTCATATTAACTCACTTGATATAATAAGACTTGATTTATTTTACTTGGGGTTCACCACATGGACCTGGTTATACAGCACCATTGTCGTAGAATTCCAATCACATGGCCTCAGACCACAATTTCTCCTCATTATCATTTTGGCCTCATTCAACATGGATCAAGTCAGTCCTATGTACCAGTACTTAATTGATCCAAGTTGCAAGCAGTTAAATCATCTCAAAATTTGACATTGTTTCACAATTAATTGCTGTCACTTCTAACTTCTTACAAATGCATTCATTTCTCATTCTCTCCTCTTCTTGCAACACCAATCATCTATCTCAACATCTTTATTTTAGATGCACTTCTTGAACAGGTTGGTTCTTAAACATCATTTCATATCATACAACATCCCTAGCATTGTAAGTATCTTATTAAACTATTTCCTTTAACTTGGCAGGAAATCTACAATCACAAAAGATTCATTCCCAAAACAATATTCCAGTTCATCCGTCTTGCTCTAAGTCTATTCGGAAGGCCCCCTTCAATCTCCCTTCATGAATAGCTAATCTAAGACATCAAAAAAGATCGCCCTAATTGAAAAGCGCAGCCACACTTCTTCTTAAAACCCATATATTAAGGAAAAGGAATCTAGAGCCTTATAACCAGCACAGATGGGACAACTCCAAGTGATGTGAGACAAATTTCAACACACCAACGGCACACCAATCACAGACCCAACCAAACTATACCAAATTGAAAAACCCAGCCCACACTTCTCCTTAAAACCCAAGCGTTAAGAAGAGGGAAACTGGAGCCTTGTGATCAGCATAGATAGGGCAACTCCAGGTAATGTGGGACACATTCCAACAACCCTTTGATATCTCCTAGCCATCAAGTTTCTCTATAATTAATTTCTACTAACTTCGCTAAATTACATTTATCATTCTTTGTCCTAATAGTGCTTGATCTAACACCATTAGATTCTTAAGTATATACCGTAAGGAAGTAACAAATTTTCTTTTCGTTTCCATGAAATGGCTTAAACATTTGCATTTTCTAGGAAACTGACACAACACTACTGGAATACTGAAATTCCAACGTTTCAACCAAAATGCATTGAAATTCACCCAAACACTACGAAACATATCAAAACAATAAGTTGTTTTTCGACACCTATTAGGAATATCCAACAATGGCCAATTCTATTTGCATATGCTTAAAATATATATATTTGAGAACAAAGAAAATTTAAAATTTGCTAGAGAATTTTGAAAGAGTATAGAGGAAAGACAACAAGAACATAAAATAAAGATATTTTAGTTATTCTCTTAATTTTTTTACTATAATATTTTTTTCTTTTTAAAATAAAGATCGTCACTGATACTTTTTGTTCTCTTTTTCATCCTTACAACTACTAGAATATTACATTTCTTATGTTTCTCTTACGATCAAACTGTCTTTACAAACTAACCCTTTAAACCTTTGGTTGATAAGCTTCTGAGATTCACTGACCTTTATTGAACCTTTTGTTAAATAAATAAAAAAAGGAAAATAAAAACATTGCTTCTACTAGGTCCAATCTCCAAACAGTTCTTCCTCTACTTGTGTTACTATCAGCAGTAGTCCAAATGTTTATTCAAGGCCCTCCTCTTTTTCTGTCTAGAGAATATCATGTTGTAGTTCTACCCTTTCTAACCACCCAAACTGGAATATGAAAAAGAAAGCACATAGCTATGTTTGCCAGGCAATTTCCAATGAGAACCAGATTTCCTACCTGATGAAGGTGGCACAACTTTCTTATGGTCAACAACATTCTTTGACATATCTTAGCAACAAGGTCCCACATTTATTGCCATTACAAAGCACCCTGGCCATCTCAAATATTTAGGAAGAAAGAAGGCACTTATGACTCTAGGGTCGATGTCATCCAACATTAGGACCTCAGCTAACCAAATTGTTACTGTAAGGTTACTTTTCAATCCTAACACAGCCTCAAATGCCAAATCATTTTAGATGAATACCGAAAATGTCACAGAAAGGTACAGCATAACATGCAAGCTTTAAAATTTCAATTATGTAGGTGCACTCCTCCTAAGAGAATACACACGATAGCCAATCTAAGCTCAAGATTGGAAAATGACTAAAACTCCGGTTCTTATGACTCTGTGAAATTAATCACTACAAAAAGGAAAAATGGTCAGCACATTATAACCACCACCCTTCTGTGTATGCATGAGGAGTTTATGAACTTACTGACCTCATAACAAACCAAGTTCAAGCTGAACAGATCACTAACTCCTTTGTTCATTAATTTTGTATTTTTAACCACATATCTGGTTATTGTAAGCTAACTAAAGCCTGTATCGTAATATCTTACACTTAAAGATCCTTCCCCAAATTGCAAAAAAAACTCAAGAAACACAAGTTTTCAAACAAGCATTGTGTCCAGATGCATGAAGAAGAGCCTCTTGGGTGTAATGTGATATATAGATTCCAACCAAATTAAAGGAAAATCTCTATAAAACCAACAGAATGCTTATGTAAAAGAAGTAAAAGAATTTCAGACAACCAATAGCTATTTGTTTTTGCTTTATCAAAAGAGGTAGGTAATATACTAGTGCGAAAAGAATAGGGAAATTAAATTGATAATTGTTTCCATGAGAAGAGACAACAAAATGATAACATAATAGACGGTAAAGACTAAGCAGACTGTTAGCGGGTATTTTAATATTATATTGTGATATTGGTTTCCATCAGGTCTTCCTAGTCTTCCAAGACTTTTCCATCCAAGTCTTGGTCTTGTCCTTCCATTCTTTCCATCCAAGCCTTCCAAGCTAAGGCTTTGCCAAAGTCTTCCAAGTCAAGTCCATGTCTTCCAAGTCTTTCAAGTCATCTTCACCAAGTCTTGGTCTTATCTCCAGTAACTTATCCACCAGAACCTTTTTTGATTTCTATATATATATTAACTTATGTCCTATCTTTAGAGACACATACGAGAGAAGAAGTTTTGGTTGTGTTGTTATGTCTTGAGTGAGATTATCAGGCAAATAAAAAAAGTGTGTATGATAAAGCTTTGGGTTCAACCAATTGTGTAGTATTGGTTAACTATACGACTTAGTCGGGCTGTTGTATCCTGGGGGGACAAGTCAAGATTTTTTCTGCCTCACCGGTGTGAAGCTTTGCCTAACCGCAGAGAGCTTGAATCTCCTTAAAGAGAGCGAATTTCCCGCGCCTCAGCCCTTATATTAATTGTTGTGACTTTTATTTTGTGTATTATCTAGTGTTTTATTTGTAAGTATCACCAACACAGACTTTTGGCATTAAATTGTACATGCATATATTAGTCCAATGGCTATGGAAGTTATAACAAACATAAAAAAATAGACATTATCCAACCAGAAGTTGTAAGTACAATTTTCAGGTTTGTACCTTTGGAAAGAGGAGGCCTGGTCCGCTAGTGGAGTTGATCACAAGTACCTCAACAACATCCTCAGATGAATGTCTATTAATTTCTATAGAATTTATATACTTAAAAGGAATACACATGTCAACAACTATGCGGGTCAGAACACAGATTATATTTGATATAAGTACATTAAATTATTACAATCAACCAGCTCAAATTCCATAATTTTTATTTTTTTATTTTATTTTATTTTTTGCAGGGAGGGGATAAGATAGAGGTAAAAAAAAAGGCATCAAAAGGATGCCACCCATATACAACCAGAAGTAACAAAAGATAAAACCAGCTATACATCTCGTAGCTCCATAATATCAACAAAATCAAAAAATTTATCAAACGGCTCACCACCCTTAAAACCTGATCATACAATACGACTAAAAAATTGTTCTTCAATTTACAAATTACTTTACTGCCTTCAAAAGATCTACAATTCACTTCTTTCTTCCAATTTTTGGACCTTAGCTCCATGGAACAATATGCTACTGCTGAAACATGGAAGAATTGAAATCTTCGATAAAAGCTATCAACTACAAATTGGTTGAAATTCAAGCCATTTAGGTTGGAGGCCATAGTGTTGATACTTAAAGCAGTCAACCCTGAAACTGAAATATATAGAGAGCAAATATTCGGGCATGAAAACTTTATTTTCTTAGAGTCTTCTTACTAGGTACAACTATAAATTCTTATTTATTTGTTATGAAATCAACCATAGAACAATTCCCCTTTTCTATTTGTGTATTGAATACAACCCCATAACTCTGAGTTTCATGCTACTCCTCCTAAGAGACATCAGGTCCAGAGCATCCCAATTGGTTGAATGGGATGATAGTTTGTCATTCCGAATCTGTAAAATCAAAATTCCAATCAAATCACATATCACCATACCATACAAATAGCACAAAAGATAGATTCCTTCCACCAGTGTTTTGTCCACTATAAAAGAAAATAAAAGAAAGGGGTTAAATTCCATTTCTTCCACTTTCATTTATTGAGTCATTCATTTAAGATGCCTATCTCCATCTAACACTAAGCTAGGAGATTAGCAAATGATAAATCTATAAGAGGATCAAGAAGTTAGAGAATATTGTTTTTCTCTAACAATAAAAATTTAATCGTCGGCATCAATCCCACATTTTGTCTCTGTGGACCAAGGAGAAAGGTGGCTCTACGGGAAAAGGATTGTACCATGAGAGATGCAAGGAAGTCAACCTCTATAAGAAGATTTTAGCAAAGATATGAGGAAACATCAAGAAAGCAACAAATATTTTTGATTCAACCCTGCAACATATTGTCCTTTTCGTTGTGTTAAAAAAGAAATTTAACTCGTTACTTATTTATTTTATATTTTTATCAGCAACAAAATGCAAATATATTTATTTTATATTTTTGTACAAGAAGTGGGAACAAGAAGTCCACCAAGAGGCAAGAAGAAGATCAGAACAAAGAAATTCAGGGAAAAAGGAAAAACCTCACAAGTCACAAACAACTTTCTATTCCGTAGAGATTAACAAAATTGGTAACCCTTTGAACAAAGGGACCATCAAAACCCAAATAGAAGCCAAAAAACAAATCTTCTCCCACAGACTTTCGATGTCTAGAGCCTTATCTTCAAAGATTTGGGCATTTCTTTCAGTCCAAACAACCCAAAGAACAGCACACACCACACACCTCCAAAGGTCCCAAGCTTTAAAAAATAGAACCAAAACCTCTAAAGTCAGAAGGTGGAAAAACCTAGTCGACCTCCGCTGCATGTAAGATTTTCCACCATAACAATATGGAAATGAAAAAATAAATGATCCGTACCTTCCTCTGCCTTTTTACACATAGCACACCATTGTAATAACAACTAGCAACTCGGTCTCCTCCTTTGAAAAAATCATTGGTATTGAGCTTCTTGTGTGAGCGTCCAAAAAAACACTTTAACCTTAAGAGGCAGGTTAGCATCCTAAATCATGACGTGACAAGGGAAAAAAGGAACATTTGGAATATCAATAATACACTCAAAAAATAATCTACAGGAGAACAATCCCAAAGAGTGCAGCCAGCAAATCCTAGAATTGGGGATAGAATTTGACAATGACACATTTTTTAGCAGAGCTAACAAAGAAGTTCAATGGTCTCTCGATCATTGACATATATAAAGAAATTGAAATTTCTTGACATTAGAATTGAAAAAGAGAGAGGCATGGAAACAATTGACATATTATGGTTTTTGGACAATCTACACAATTGAGAAAACATTTGAGCAGATGGAACTTCCCCCCTCCAAGAATCTTAGCAAAATCGACTGGATTCCCCATTACCCAATTTCAATCGAATGATTTGAGAGAACCTCACCAGGCCCTATCTTATAAATTTCCAAAAGTGATAGGTCTCTCATTCCACAATGAGAAAATCCCACCCATAAGTCTGAAGCCTATATTTTCTTTTGAAATGCATGCTATAAAATTTGACTTTCCCTAGGGAACCTCCATAGATACATGCCAACTAAGACAATATTTATATCAGTAATGTGGCCCACAATAAGACCTCCCTTACATTTTGGAAGGGAAGCAACACTCCAACAAAAAATGCTCCTTCCTACCCTCACCAATACCTTCCCACAAGAAGTCCCTCATAAGTTTTTCCATTTTATTGGCAACCCTAACTAGAATGCGAAACAACGAAAGATGATAAATGGGAAACCAGACAAAACATATTGTACCAAGGTAAGCCTGCCCTCTTTAGAGAACAAGGCTTTCTTCTCTTCCCAATTTTTTCCAAAACTAGGGACCAAAATTCATCACTTCTTGGGTCCCCTCCTTAAGGTAAACCAAGATACCTCATTGGTAAAGATTCAATTGGACAACCCATAATTTCTGCCACTCCATTTAGACTATCTTGTGAAAAATTAACTACAAGCACTGAGTTTTTCCTAACACTAATTCCAAGTCCTGAAACAATCTCAAATGTTCTAATGATGGATATCAGATTAACCATTTTTTTCCTTATCCCTAGAAGAAAAGAAAATGGTATCATCCATAAACTGTAAATGTGACACCTCAACATGATCCCTTCCTATGACGGAATCATCAAATAAACCCCTCACATGCCCTATCAACTATCATACCCAACACATCAACAACCATAGAAAATAACAATGCAGATAAAGGATCCCCTTGCTTTAATCTTATTGATGCTTTGAAAAAAGCTCTCAGCTTTCCATTAAATAATAATTGAGAAATTGGTTGATACAAGACATCCATTGATCCATTTTCTCCACATTTGACCAAAAACCCTTGTGCTCTATAATAAAATTCAAAAAATTCCAATCAACATGAGCTTATGTTTTCTCAAAATCAGCCTTAAAGATGATCCCTCCTGTCTAAAATCTGCAACACCTTAGCCATAATCTTATACACCAGTCTAAAATCTTCAATTTTCACTGAATTCACCTTTTAGGGATTAAATTAAACATATAAAAGAAGCATTATTTGTACCAAAATTAACAAAAAAATCGTGAAAGACCCTCAATAAGTCTTCACCACCTTCTAACAATCTCAGAAAATTGTCATGGAAAAACCATCCGGTCTAGGAGCCTTATCCCTTTCACAATCAAAACGGTCCCCCTAATTTCCACTTCTTCAAATCAAAGGGCCTTTCCAACCACTCTGCTTTTCTATTAGAAATTGGAAATCAATCAATGCCTGCAATCCCTCGTCTAGAAACCCCTTATGAGGAAAACAATTTAGAATAAAATGTCAAATTATCATTAGCAATCTGATCCTCACAATTCACAACCGTTGGTCAAACTCCAACATTTTAATAAAATTGTCGTTAGCAACCTTATGAAAAAATTTAGAATTTTTGTCACCATTCTTTAACCACCTGACTTTGGATAGTTGATTTCAATGAATTGACTCTCTAAAGGCAATTATCTCCAATTCCATTATCAATTTGAACCATTCTATGTTGAATGGCTTCATTGAGACTCTTGTCATTCTCCATATCCTCCTTTTAATTTCATCTTTCTTGATCCTTTCAAATCCCTAAAAATCTCCTTATTCCAGATTTTTAATTCTTCCTTGTCTGATTTCAATGTTCTCATAAATTTGAACCCCTACAAACTAATAATTTTTGTGATCTACAACAAACTAATTTTTCCTCAAAATTTGACCAAGGGTAGGGAGCATTTAATAACGGAGGATCAACCAGATCACAATCCCTAATGAAACATCAAAATCTCTTCCTACTTTTCGTGGCTCTTCTTCCATTTTGTTTTTCAGACGTTATAGACGTCCCCGAACGCCCCGGGAGGGAATCCCCCCCCCCCCCCGGTTTTGTTCATTTGGGGCTCACTACAGTTCAAGACTCAAATGTCACGGTCCTGTATCTAATCTCGCAGAGTGCAACGCAAGACCGATGGATCATCAAAGAGTCCAAATCCGGCAAATTGTTTTTGAAAACAGATTTTTTTGAAAGAAGTGTCAAATATGGACTGCTTTGCCAGATACAGAGTCGCCACCTAAATATTTTATTTTGAAAAATTTAAGAAATCTTGACTCGTTTGCCTAAGGCCACGTGTCCGTCATCACCAAAGTTGCCTCGGCTCAGGAACTTGGGTACAATTGGGGAAGGTCAATTCGTGAGCACCCCCGCTCGCTCGATCAAAGATCGGCCTCTACTAAACATGATATCGAGTTTTGAAAGCATATGTGCTCTTATTCCAGTTATTAGCCTAGATTTACTACATGATGCGCACAGCATATAAGTATAGACCGGATCGCCTGAATTGGAACGAAACATTTCATGTTTGTTTTTTAAAGTGGTTTGCTACTCGCAAGTAGGCTTAAAATGCAGATTTTGCCACCCTCGGGTGGGCTTAGAAGACATGATGATTTGCCATTCTCAAGTGGGCTTTAAACTCGTAGTCAATGCATTATTCTAATTCAGATAATCCAACCTTCACCCACAGGCATTCAGGCAGTTATATCACGTAAGCAGTTAGCCCCATGGTAAGCATGCTATCATGGCAGTCACTCACACGCATGCAAGGATGCTAAAGCATAAAACTTACCGAGTACTCCAAGCCAAAACAAAAGCTATGTTAGAAATCCATGCATGATCCTAGCTATACAGAAATGCCTAATGCAACACATGCAAAATGCAACTAAAATAGGCTCGGCTATTCTACAGATGGCATGTGAAATGCTACAACTAACAAGTATTCAACTCGGAATTGAAATACAATGCAGTTAGTATGATGCGCCGAGCCCGGTGCATGCAAGACAGATGAATGAATGCAAATATGCAAGCATAAGTATGCTAATTGAAACATGTTCTAATCTAACCATCATAAGCTGATAAATAAAAGGGAGAAAGACGTAGGGTTGGAAGACATACATCACACACACGCACACTTATTACAATTGTGCCCTCGCTCGGAGAATCCGAAAGAATATTACAAACTATCTAGCTAATCTAAGCTAAACAACAAATTACAGCTAATTATTACACAACATTAATTAATCAACAAATTAACTAAGTAAGCAATAAACTAGCATGCAAACTAAATACAATGGACTGCCTCAGCTCTGTTTCGTATGGCGAAGGGTGTATGCATGCTCGAGTCGCCTTGTCGGTAAATTCCATCGCAATGTCTCGCCTCGCCTTTGTTTGCAATTGATCTCAGAAACTTGCACAAAGCTCCAGAAGGCTGAAACTCCACCTTGGGAAGGCTGCCGACCAAATATTGGCTTGGGAAACACCTGCCGACCACCCTTTGTGGTGGAAACCAAAAAAGGTGGTCGGCCTGCCAGAAAAACTAGTCGGCCGACCACTTTCTGCCCCTGGATTCTGGTTTTTCTGCAACAAAGGCAAGAGGTAGAGAAAGCAAGGAATTTTCAACATATGTGTACAATACCACTCTCCCCGTCCTTGCACAAGCTCAAGGGAGTGTAGACCTCGATCCTTGTGCCACCAATCATGCATCTCGATGCATGATGGCCGAGAAGTCGAATTGCACGACTCAATGGAATGAATGCAAGTATAAACACAACAAGGCCTAAACTCCATCATGGATAATCCGGAGCGTCGGCGACCGGGAATCGAGGCACGTTTCGTCACTTGGAGTACGAAACGTCCCTCGTTTCCCGTGTTTGGACTAAACCCTACTCCAAACACAATGCAATATGCATGATATGCATGAATGCAATTCTAACATGCAATCCTAGATGCAATGCCACTGAATGACGCAAACATGCAAGGGATGAAAATGCAAACATGCACCTAGCATATACAATGTTAACACTACATGGCATGCATAATGCTCATGAGCTAAATGCGACTAACAACCTATGGCATACTCAATGTGACTAACACCCTCGCATACACAATGCGAGGAATGACATGGCATACACAATGCTAACAACATAGTCGAGTTAAGGTACAAAGAATTTAATTATCACTACAAGAAAAGTGGGTTTAAAAGACGGAACTTTTTGCGACAGCACATTTGCTGTTGCAAAAAATGTGACCTTTTGAGACGGTACAGCTTGCCATCGTAAAAAAAATGTGACTTTTTGAAACGGCACAACTTGCCGTCGCAAAAAAAAGAGTATTTGCGACGGCATAAAATAAATATGGCACACAATGCAAGCTAGGGGGCCCGGGTACCGAAACTAGTGAAGTGCGTTACACTAGAGGTACCCAAAGCAATGCACCAAAGGTAAAACCAACCCCAAACAAACCCTAGGCAGGTCTGAAACAGTGGGGAAATGGCCTAAGATGATGGCTCGGAATGCAACAAAATGGAGCTCAGTCAATGGTCTGAAAACAAGGCATACAAGTCCGACTCTCAAACACATTTAAAGAGTACAAAACATGGCAATATGGCATTCAAACAAGCTCTGAAATATGATGTATAATGAGCCCAAAACATGAACACACCTCAGTATATGCATGGAATGAACTTCGAAACTCAAAGTTAAGCGTGGGTATTGAACTACAAGCATGCAAAACCAACATTATTCAACTATGAGACCCAAAAACAGAGCTAGGGCAGTCCAAAATAAGCACAATATCAGTTTAAGGCATGGCCAAAAAGTGTTAAAATCAAAAGTCAACAAAGCATGCAAAGAAAGCTAGTGAACCATGAGTTACATTACAACTATATGGAGCATATGAAGGCTCACCAAACCAGCCAAAAACAAAAGTATGCCATGCCAAAATATGCCCAAATAACCACTGAAACTCAGTCAATGCACGCAAGAATGATGAGCTCATTTGAAAGGCCAATAAGGGGGTTGTTCTACACATGCATGATGGACACACACAATGGCAAAACCACCTCTGGACAGAGGTTTTGAGGGTCCTAAAACCCCCTAAAAAGAGCCTGAAAGGGGTCTAGGAAACATGCAAATAAAGGCCCCTTTGAAAGGCCTTGAATGAGATTGTTCTACACATGCATCAAAGACACAAAATATGGCCAAAAGGGCTTTGGACAGAGTTAAGGCAGACCTTGAACCTCACAAATAATGGCTCGAAACAAGACTTCTCAACATGCAAAATGGAGCTCCTTTGGAAGGCCAACAAAGCTAGTAAAGAGAACAAGGGGTGAGAGGGTCACCCCTCTCTAATTTTAGGGCTAAAAGGCCAAACCAAGGCCAATGCAAATGCTCAAATGCATGGCTCAAAACATAAGGAAATGAAGCATGAAAGGGGGTAGATGACCCCAAACAGAAAAATGACCTTGAACAAACTTGAAGAGGAGCTCAAAACAAGACTTTTTTTAGTTTATGTCGAAGTCCAACAATGCTTGCAAATAGGGCTAAGTAATGAGGCAAGATAATGCAAAAATGGGAGAAATGATGACTTACCCTTGTAGCACAGCAAAGCAGCAAGTTCTGGACCAAGAAGGTGAGCCTTCAACCTCTGAAAAACAGCTCCAGGGTGATTGAATGGATGGTGGAGGTGGTAGGCTATGAGGTGTAGTGTAAATGGCCAAGAATATTAGGGTTTGGAGCTTGAAGAAGAGAGCTATGGAGGGTGGGGTGTATCTATCTTAGCCAAATGTTTCTAACCCTTACAAATGGAGGGGGAAGGTTTGTTTTATAGAGGAAGGGAGCCAAGGCTTCTTGGAGAAGCCTCAAGAGAGGGTCAAAGTTTCTCAAAGAAGCTTAACCAAAAGGCTCAGGCTTCTTGAGGAAGCTAGACCAAAGGGGCCAAGCTTCCTCAAGAAGCTTGACAAAAGGGTCAAGCTTCTCCTTGAAGCTAAGCAAAAGGATCAAATCTTCCTTAAGAAGACAAACAAAAGGCTCAAAATCTCGGAGAGTGGGTCAAATGCTTCACAGCTGGCACAGCTGTGTTGAACTCAGGAAGGCCAAAAAGCAGAAGGCTGGCCGACCAGCCAAGGTGGTCGGCCGACCACCTCCCCTGGTCGGCCGACTAGGGGTCAAAATGGTCAAGGTGAAGTGCTGGTCGGCCATACCAGAAAGGTGGCCTCCCAGATGAGTAGAATACAGCTGTATGGTGGGAGACCAGAAATTGTGGCCTAGGGGAGAGGAAAACCAGCTTTCTAGCAAGGTTCAAAAGGGTCAGGAAGAAAATCTGGTCGGCCTACCCATATTGGTGGCCTCCCAGATGAGTACAACACAATGGTGGTATGGGAGACCAGAAATTATGGCCCAAAAGTAAGGAAAACCAGCTTTCTGTCAAGAAAACCGGCTGGAGGAGAGAAAAAATGATTTCCAAAAGAATTGCTGATCTCCCACTATAGTACCACCTCCCAAACAATGAAAATAGGATTCATACCAAAAATGAACCCTAACCGATGCAAAACGAGGGTTCGGGGGCCAAAACAAGTGGCCCGGGGCCCCGAAAACAGGCTGTTAGGTACCGAAAATGGCGTGCGACCACGAAGGTGGTCTCTCGGGCCACAGTGTCCCCCAAAAGAGAGGAAACAAGGTGTGTGCCAAAAACCAGAGCAAACGGAGGTAGTTAAGCGATCCCGAACCGAGGCACACGGCTGACGACTCTGAAAATCAGAAATTGGTCTCCAAACTGGAAAAATGACCTACGACCACGAAACGTAGCCTACGGCCCCAGAGAGATGGTCTACGAGACCTCTCCCTCCCTTCAGGAAGAGAAAACAGAGAAAACAGGACCTGGTTCGCAAACCGAGGCAAAGCACCAAAGAGCTCCGAAGTCCGGAGGCAAGGCTCTCAACCGAGACTCCGCAACCTCAGAACGAGCACAATATGCATCATCACCGAGCACTCAACTGGTGACGTCTGAGTCTTAAGGCCGGTCAAAAATGGAGCGTCTACAGACGTTCTCCCAATAACATTAAAGTCTCCTCCAAAACACCAAATTGGGTAGCATAGTCCATAGAGTGATCCTAACTCATCCCAAAATCACTCTCTAACCCTCAAGAATATGGCCCATACACCTCTAATAACCACCAAACTAACCCATTAGCATTCTTAAGCTAATGAGATAGTAAAATTTCCAATTACAATTTCTTCATCAAAAGCCACCCTTTCGTCCCAAACAATTAAGACCCCACCCGACCTTCCTACATACTGTAAAGTTGCCCACTCCCTAAATTTCAACCTCCAAATACTATTAATTAACAAAATTCTCATTTTTTGTCTGTTGTAGAATCAAAATATCATGAAATGTTTTAGTAATCAACCCCTTAACCACACTCTTCCTAGCCCTAGACCGCAACCCTATTACGGGACAATTTTTAATAATCAACCCCTTTACCACACTCCTCCTAACCCTAGACCTCAATCCTATTACATTCCGACCAACAATCTTCATTGATAACTAATGCAATCTGCCCCACTCTTGCCTCTCCATCATAATTGATCCCTGATCACCATTGTCACAAATGGTTTATTTAGAAGAGTGGAGAGCAATTACTTGATAAGGGTAGTTTAGGTATGTAAAAGGTGTTACATAACTTCGTCCACACTAAAGCATTTAACCACATGATGTGTGTGCTAATTTTTTTTTGAAATCGAGAAAAGATTTAACGGTTGAAATCCTGAAGAGTTTTTTTATTTTTTATTTTTAACATGGGTATTAACTTGCTATTACATATTTGCCCCTTTTGTGGTAAAGAAACACAAACAAAAAGGCTATCTCATACACGAGTGTTTATGGAAAAAAAATTTACTGTGACACCACCAAGTCAAGTGTTCATATATAATAATAGTATAAATAATATAATTATATATAACAAAGAAAACCTTGTGTTATAATCAAATGGTTTGTCAGTGTTTGAAATCAATAGTTCAATGTGCAAACTTTTTCATACCCTCATAAGCAAAATGTCAACACTGCCCACAATTAGGAAGAGAAAGAAACAGCTAGGCATATTGAAATCAAATCAGAAGCAAGTAATTGGGCAGTGTTAAAATGGTGAATGCAGAGTAATGAAAATCCCAAAACATAAACAGCATTTCAAACTTCACACCTTTATTCTTTTTTCTTTTCTTTTTTTTCTCTCTCTTCTGATTTGGAGAAGGGGGCAAGCATAATTGGCTAGCCTAAAGACAACCATCCCCAATTGTAACCGTTGGTCTGGTTCTCGGAAAGAATGAAGAAAAGGATCACACTTTCTTATAGAGCATTTCCCATTTGTTTCCCACATTTTGACAGAGAAGCAAACACAACCCAATTGAGAAGAACCAAAATGAATACAATGAGAGTTCAGACCTTGAAATCTAAAAAGAAATCTAGATATACATAAATACATATATATAGAGAGAGAGAGAGAGAGAAGAGAGAGAGTACCTGGCGATGAGGCGGAAACCGGCGTGGTAGCGCTGGTGATGACGACCAGTGCGGGCCACCAATTCAGACATATATCTATCCAAATAACAACCTCCTTCAATTTGAGAGAGAAAGACACCCTTTTATCATATCTACACTTTCTCTCACATTGCTGCTGATACCCTATCTCTCTCTCTCTCTAATAGCTAACAACTGTCTCTAGGCGGAGATAAATTCAGACCCCACATTATTCAATGATGTGCAATGTCAGATACATACACCATTGACAGGATCGGGGGTACTCCTGTGCAGCAAGGATCCTAGAGTTTTTTTTTTTCTAAAATTTTCTAAAATGGTATGTTGTATGGGCGATATTTAATGTTAAAAAATTGATGTGACTTGTCATTAAATCTCAATCATACAACACATCATCATAAGAAATTTTAAAAAAAAAAACTTTAGAAGATCCTTACTCACTGCTGTGATGCTGCGAGTAAAAACGACGCCGTTTTGCCTCTTAGATGCATATTCAAGTTTATGCCAAAAAAATAAAAAAAACATTTGCTGTTGAAGGGGCTCGAAGCGAAAACACGTGAAGAAAAGAAACGTCTTCACCCACTGCACTACTATCTTTCAATATTGTGGCGATATATTTTATTTATTACTTTATATTTTATTTATTACTTTATGAAAATATCTTTCAAACCAACATAATTGTTTTTTATGAAAAAAATTATTTATATATATGTTTATGTACCTAACTTAAGAATAAATATTACGTATACCAATTATTTTAAATGGTGTCATTAATAAAAAAAAAATTATATATACATAAATCAAACTAGGTGGATGTCATTTAATATTATTTTACCATGTAATTCTTAATTTTATAATGAGAAAAAAAAAAATAGTGTCCACCTAGTTAAAATTAGGATAAATTAAAAATATACCCCTTGAGATTTGCTTAAAATACAAATTACCCTATGTGGTTTGAAAAATTACAACTACTTTTCTGTCAGAATTTTTTTATTTAATAAAATTAATTGAAAAAGTGAAATTTCTAACTGTTCACCCATATAATAATAAAATTATCTGAATTATTTTACTATGTAATTCTTAATTTTATAGTGAGAAAAAAAATAGTGTCCACCTAATTGACATGCACCTAGTTTGATTTATGTATATATAATTTTTTTTAATTAATGACACCATTTAAAATAATTGATATACGTAATATTTATTCTTAACTTAGGTACATAAACATATATAAATAATTTTTTGCCAAAAAACAATTAGGTTGGTTTGAAAGATATTTTCATAAAGTAATAAAAAAATATATGTCTGAAATATTAAAGTAATAAATAAAATATATCGCCAAAATAATCAATTGGGGACTAAGTAGTGCAGTGGTGGAAGGCGTTTTGTTCCTTCACGTGTTTTCGGTTCAAGTCCTTTCAATAGCAATTTTTATTTTTTGGGGGAGGTAAACTTGAATATGCATCTAAGAGCCAAAACGGCGTCATTTTGACTCGCAGCAGTTATTGCTGTGGATATTTTTTTTGGGAGGGTAAACTTGAATATGCATCTAAGAGCCAAAATGGCGTCGTTTTGACTCGCAGCAGTTACTGCTGTGAGTCCCTCACAGTAGTACCCCTGGATCCCCATTGACAAATTTACCACAATGATGTGGTAAGACCTACGGAGGTGTTTGATTAGAAGGATTAGGATATGGATTGGATTGAAATATATTGAAAGTTTTTTATTTGGCGTTTGTTTTGTTTTTTTTTAATTTGTCAGGCTCAATTATCCTCCATATGTGTGCTTGCATTGTTCCGGGGGGGGGGGGATAATTTTCATAAGATAACAATTTTATGAGATTAAACCGTAAAAAGTTTATTTTGCTCTTATCATATATTATTTGCTTCCTCGGTTGTTTTTGGTAGAGATTGTTATTTTAAAAGAAGCAAAAATAGCAAAACCCTGGCAGGTGATTCTTCTTTTTGAGGCTGAATTTCATCAAATCATTCGATCTCCCAGCTATACTCAGGTTTGAAACACTTTCTACATCATCCATTTTGTTTGCTATTTATTTTTTATTTCAATTTTGGTTGTTGCTGTGACTGATTTGGTTGAGATTTTATTTTCTCTATCTCTAGTTATTTTTTTGTTTCTTTCAAGTTTTTTTTTTTTTTTCTCTTCATCAAACCAGATTTGTTTCTCTTTCTTCAATATGAGGGATTTTGTTTTTGTTCTGTCTATTTTGGTGGGTACTGGGCCTGTATTTATTTATTTAATTTTTTTTTTGAGCATTGAAAAAACATAATTGGTTTTTTTTTAATGGATGCTGCTACTCGTGGTTGTTTGTGGTGTGATGTTGCTGCTAGTTGTTTGTTGTTAATGGATACTGCTGATTTTTTTTTTTTAAGCCTTGAAACATAGCTGGTTGTTATATGGAAATTGCCATCATTAATTTAGAAATTGAAAGTAGTGCATCTATGCTACTTGCAAATTCTTATATGTTATCTATATGTCTAGAGATGCTCTATTTTTTAAACTATTTGTAATTCTAAATGGTGTGTTGCGTATTGTTGCTGGTGTGTTCTGTGATACCACTGGTATGTTGCTTTTAATCTGTGGGTGTGTAAAGGCTTTTTGTTGAAATCTCTTCAACTTTTATTTTTTGTTCTTTTGGTTTTTGGTTGTGTGCTCTTTACTCTTTTTCTTTGTTGATGTATTTATGCTTTGTTCATTCTATGCATTAATAAAATTATTTTTTTGCTGATCAAAAAAATAATAATAATTTTTTTGTGTTGGATAAAAATTAGAAGGGAAATGGTCTTATTTATATTGAAATAATGTGACCACTAAAAAATATAACTATTGAAAAAAATGTTTGTTTGAAACATTGAAACAATTAAACAATTAATTGTGGTCCACTAATCAATTATAAATAAAGATTAAATTTAAAGATAGACTTAATATTGATATTACTTAGTAAACAATTGAAAATGGGTAAAATAGTCTTTTGATCATTTATCTTTATTCAGTTCGTCCAACCAAACATTGGATTCATTAAAAACAGTCATTTCCAAACATCTAATCCCATGAGAAAACAAACACGAGATACATATTCAATCCAACCAAATAGTTCGGGGGATTCACAGTCCTAGGATTCAAATCCGATGGATTCTAATCCTTCCTTATTTAGTCCGTCCAATTAAACATACCCTCAATGATTAGATTAGATGCATGAGACCATCTCATGGTTTATCAATTTTTTCATCAAATTTAAATTTGATAAAAAAAAATAATATTTTTTATTTTAATAATTTCATCAGATTAGTATCAAATCGAGGATAACAAAAAAATTTCACCAAATTGAGGATGCCTAAAGCTTTCATCAAATCGCTATTTATAGCCGTTAGATTTTCATTGCTAGATGTCCATGGTTGTCCCCCAGATGACCACGTCTAGGCAAAGATTTGTGAAAAACATACACTAGCCGGTCGATTGGCTGGACATCCGCCCAGTCGTCTGCCCGGTCAACTGGTGTTTTAATAAAAGCTTAAAATCCTCCGTTGAAGCACTTGATATCAAATAAAATTTTTACTCAAATTTAGTGGAAAAAAAAAAGATGCACTGTTGGAGATGCTCTGAAAGCATCCAAAGATTACTCTTTTTTTCATTAAATTTGAGTAGAATTTTGAGTAAAAGTTTATCGAGCGTTCCAACAGACAAGTTGTATTTTTCATCAAATCATCGATTGACCGGGAGGACAATCGAGCGGATGTCTGGCCGGTCGACCGGTTTGTGTAAATTGACCAACACTTTTATGGGCAATTTTGCAAGGAAAAGGTTGTCTAGGAGGACATTGGGTCTAATAGTCACATACAAATTTGATAAAATGATAAAACTCTCTTGATTTGATAAAAAAATTTAACTTTCCCTTTATTTGATATTAGTTTGATGAAAGGGTCGGAATACAGGTTTTAGGCATTTTTCATTAAATTTGATGAAGCATTAAAAACGCTCTAAGGTATCTCCAATGTTTTTATTAGATCTTTCATCAAATTTAAATTTGATGAAAAACTAATGAAAGCAATTTTCCAACCGTTTTATCAATTTTACGTCAAATGAATGAAGCGGTACTTTTTTCATCAAATGAAAGAAACGTTTATCTTTTTATTAAATTTGTAGGTAGTTAGGCCGAACATCTACCTGAACGTCCTCCTAGACAACTAGTTTTGGAATGAATTTGACGAAAATTTATTCTAGACAGATGACCAGCCAGTCAACCAACCAGATTTAATGAAATGATTGGAGTGCATTGTATCAGATCAAATTTTTACTTAAATTTAATGAAATATGATGAATGATTGGAGATATTTTAACAAATTAAAAATTGACATTTATCTTAACATATTATTGTAATAGAATTATATAAATTTTTTTAAAATCTCAAACATTTTTCGTTTATTGACAATGTCATATATGTCTCACTGCCAAGAGTCGGTGGGCACCAAAAACAGAAGATGAGACAACGGAGGTCCAAAGCCACCTGCCCTTTCGCGCTTGTATTGTAGTGTATGAGAGAGAGAAGTAGGGGGCGATTAACACACCACCCAATTGAGGTGATTTGGTGAAATATGATAACTTTTTCAAAATTTTGATAGTCTCATTTGGTAACTTTCTATTTTAGTTAGAAAATTATTATAAATTGTCGCATTATTTTTTTTATTTTTCTATATATGTTTTCATAAAAAATTAGTAAGTTACTAAAATAGTATATTCTCAAATTAGGCCTTACTTTTTTATTTTTTGTGTTTTTTATTTTTATTAAATTTTTTTAATATTTTATGTAAATTTTTTTGTTTTAAATACACCCAACATAAATACAATTAAAAACGAAAATATTTATAATTTTTTTTAAAAAAATTCATTAAATATAAAAAATACATATATATATATATAAATTCAATACATTTTTGTATTATTGTGTATTTATTAATTTAAAAAAAATTATAATTTTTTTTATAAATACATCTAGGTTATGTGCATTCAAAAAGTAAAAGATTTGCTCAAATACTAAAAAGATATACTAAAAAAAAAAACATGAAAAACATGAAAAGCAAAAAAACTTAATTTTCAAAGAATTTGAGTTCAAAAATTGAAACCAAATAAGGTGAATAAGAAAGAAAACTTGTCGTCATGTT